CCAATCCTCAAATCCTTTGGTGTTGCGGGTGTAGTTATGGCTGGCGCCGATTGCTTACCACCAGGTGATCTGCCTGCTAGTTTGCCGTTCTATAAGTACCATAAAAAAGTCGCGGAGGACTTAACGGGTTGCAGGGGCTCCGGCTCGAAGGGCAGGAGTAGAAACTGGGGTTTTTAGTCAGTAAGAGTCTGATAGTCTGACACTCCATCCCGCCTCACCCAGGCGGGAGAAGAAATTCGATGATTTTCCCCCAATTTCTATCAGTATTCCGTTCATCACATCGGCTCAACAGCAGTACCTACATAAAACACAAACTCCCGAGGCAAATTCAGAGCCAATAAATTAAAAACAAGGCAAGCTTGTTTTTTTACAACGACAAGTAACTATGAGTGTATGTTTTTATCACGATTCGTATGAACATTTTTTGATATCTTCTGGTAGCCGGGCAGCGACCGCTTCCGTACAGTTGACCTTATCGAGTCACCTTTGAAATAATTGTTTATACCTCATAGGTATATAAGCGTTTATACCTACGTCTAGAGGGCAAACTACTACAGAGGAGGCTGATAACCTCTTCAATGCGAAAACCATGCATAATATACCACTCGAACGAATATAGACTCAAACAAAAAGATATAAAGTCGATTTGGGAATAATCTGCAAAGTTGGAAAGGTCATAAAATGTTTAAATATTGCATGTCAAATTGGACTTTATGTGTGGCATTTAAAGTTACTTTTCGATTATAAAGGATTTTGGTTATGGATGCGTGTTTTGCAAAGAGCATAACATCATCACGCCTTTTATCCCCGAAGGGGTAGGCAGAGGTGCACATAAGGGCACTTAATGCCACTGTACAATGTCACATCCACTTTTCACTATTTATGTTATGAGTCCCATGTAATAGGGGGTGAGCCTGCCATATACCGGGCACAATTCCAGACTACTAATGAGAATTTTTTGCGCTTTGCAAAGAGCGTAAAGCGATAATTGCCTATTCAGCAGCCTGAAAGTGATGAGAGAAACAACTTCACTATCATCTGAGGGCTTAGTATGAGTAATCGAAATGAGACCGCGTTCGGCGCTCTGATTGGCCGTCTCCAATGAACCAACCAATCAGAGCGCGCAACGCGGTCTCGTTTTGATTACTAACGTAACGTAAAACCAACTCGTGCCACCTTTAAACAACTGTTGTTGGTACACAATCGTATCTTAACCCTTAAGAAGGATTTAAAATGAATCATCAAGAATTAATGATTGTAATTATCTATCTTCAATAGGCAATCAGCCCACGAATGCTAATCATAGGTAGGTGTTGCAAAATATAATTTAATGCCTAGTCAGTATTGCGCCATGTGTGCCAATCGTTTACTGAAAGGATTTCGAAAAAACCCTACCCACGATCAAAGAAGCTTATAGTTTTTTGTTTTGAGAGAAGAAAATCATCAAATGACTTCTGCTGGTGGCATCCCAGGGTGAGGCGAGAGGGAGTGTCAGACTCTTACTGAGAAAAAACCACCCCGTTCCTACTTCGAGCCAGAGCCCCGGCAGCCTGTTAAGTCTTTCCCGGTTCCGTATCAGACATCAGCCCTTCTGGGCCTCATCTGTGCTGGTGTAACGGCTTTTAGAGGTGCGCGACTAACGCGACGCGCCGTACTCTCGGGTCCTTTTTTTTGAGGGTGAAATGTCATACACTGACTTCTCCCGACTTAGGTTAAGCGAGAGGGAATGTCAGAATCTTACTGACTAAAAACTACTCCATTCCTACTCTTAGACTTCGAGCCGGAGCCCCGGCAACCCGTTAAGGCTAGAACCTAACGGGTAACCGGGGCTCCGGCTCGACGAGCAGGAGAAGGAACGGGGTGGTTTTTAGTCAGTAAGAGTCTGACACTCCCTCCCGCCTCACCCAGGCGGGAGCAGTCATTCGATGATTTTCACCCCTTAAAAAAAAAAAAAAAAGGCTTCCGCAGCTCTGTATCGCGCATCAACCCTACTGGGCCCCATCTGCGCTGGTCTAATGGCTTTTTAAGGTGCGCAAGGAACGTGACGCGCCGTACGCTCGGACAGGACTCGGTTCGATTCACGCCTCGAGTAAAAATGTATAACTATTTTCGATGTTTAAGGCATTGGCTGCCAATAAAAAACTATTGAAGGCAAATCCTCCGCTAACGTCGGTCACCAGTGACTGCCATGGCGTTTAACGTGTTAATTTATCAATTATCACTAGTTTGGAATTTTAAATATGTAAACTTGTGTTTCATAATAAATTACTTCCTCTATATGCATTCCAGCTTATCTCTTCGAGGAAAACAGGGCGCAATGTTACATTACGAAGTCAAAAACAGAAAGAGGAAATGTCATAACGATTAGATAGACGAAAAAAGCATAGGTCATCATTATATGAATGATAAATAGACCGTGCTTCAACTAGCACCTTTATTCATATTAGGTATAAGGATGATTTTCCATTGTTTTAGGTTGTCTGTGGTGTATTGTAGGTCAATTAGGTAAGTAGTAATAGAAACAGTTTATGTACAATTTAAACATAAACACTTGGGAGCAAAAAAAAACAGAGCCACTATTTTTTAGCAATCTAGCTAGGTTTGATTTTCAGGAATTATTGTTTTGTCCATGTTTTCATTGAATAGAAACCTCTACTAATATACTACTGTGACTTTTTGTCAGTAATACTTCGCCCGACCCGGGAATCGAACCGGAGACCCTTTGCCAGGCAGTCGCACTTGCGACCACTCGACCAATTAATTACTATATAATATATAGTATATATATTAGTACAAAATATTTTCCTAGAATAGGCGTGTCGACAGGGTAAAAAAATCAAAAAAGTAATTAGTCCGTCATTAAGATCGCACGAAAATATCAGACACGTATTTTTTGTTTTATCAAATTAACAGAAGAATACGTAGTTATTCTGCATTAAAGTTAGGGAGTGGGGGGTGTTGACGTCACACTTACGGAGAAATCGTACCTAATTGTGACGTCACGCGTCATTTTAACTCAAAATATCTACATGTTTTTTTCGATACGAGAAAAAAGAAAAAATACGTATCAAAGATTTTTAAAATATCTAAAAGACGGACAAAAAATTAAAAAATAGTCGCCATGCCTATTACCTATCTTTATTAGTTAAACATAAGGAAATACTGTGAACCAGATTTAATCTTTTCCACACGGAGATTATTACAGACCTTAATGATAAAAGTGTAAACTCATTTATTCTAAGAACAGATAACATAACATCATGCTATTTTATCCTCCGAACTGGTACGCAGAGGTGCATGTTACAGCACTTAATACCACTGTACAATGTAACACCCACTTTTCACTATTTATGTTATGAGTCCCATGTAATAGGGGGTGAGCCTATTGCCATACACCGGGCACAATTCCAGAGTCCATGCTACTATTGAGAATTTTCTAACTTGATTTTAAGATCTACAAAATGATGAGAAAGTGATTAATAGAGTGACTTGTGGACTGTATGATTGTTGCAGCGGCTAAGCCTGCTGCACAATGTGTTGTGGGTGGTGTGTTGGACCCATACATTGTTGTTCTGGGTCTGAGTGTATGGTAAACCTATAAGAAATTGTAAGTCTATCCACACTCATATTTGGAGTTGCTGAGAACCTAACGGGTTACCGAGGCTCCGTCTCGACGTGCAGGAGAAGGAATGAGGTGGTTTTTAGTCAGTAAGAGTCTGACACTCCCTCCCACCTCACCGAGCAGTCATTCGATGATTATCCCCCCTTAAAAAAAATCCACACTGATAACAGACTAAAATGTTGTTATCATCATCATCATCATCATCATCAACAGCCTATAAGTGCCCACTGCTTAACAAAGTCTCTTCTCACACCGATCATCTTTTAAGCATTAAACTGTCAAACACCAAGCGGTCACCGGTGACCGCAACCTATTGTTCTATAATTGTGTCTATAATGACGGTACTCGACGAGTTAATCACTACACTTGCTCAATGCGGGTTAGCAATTTCAAACTTATAATTAGAAATTACAAGCCCAGGTTTCCTTACGATGTTTACCTTCACCGTTTGTCAGTGTTGTCTAAATAATCTTAGAAAGTACATATAACTCGGAAAAAGTCGCATTGGTACTTGCCGTTGGTAGGTTTCAAACCAGCAGCCTCATGCATGAGAAGCGAACGTCTTAACCTTGGGCTACCACGGCATGTTGTCATAACTAACTTGAATTCATAATTTAACCGGTGAAAACTGGTACAGTTCAACTATTGGTTTTTATAGCTATGTTGTGTTGTTTCTTACAAGTTTTCTTAGCTGAGTCCGTTATATTCATTTTAATTAGAATTTTGTATAAAATTGTATATGACACCTATTAATTTGCCTATAAACAAATAACATTTTCCAATAATAATTTCCATTTATTTCTCATTTACAACTTCCTTATTATCTCCTATTGGAATAGAAAAAAACACGTGTAACGATTGTTTACTAATTGCAATAATAATAACCATAGATATTGAATCCAATGACTCGAATTAATTCGTAAAATTCGAACAGGAAACTTAGGTGAACTCCCTCAAACCGCCTCAACGAAAACTGTTTACAAAAACAGGAGAAAAACCAAGGGAAAAACAAGTATTAAAACTACGCTACTTCAGATTCCAATAAGACTAAATATCGATGCAAAAATATGAAGAACTGGTAAGCATTGTGAAGTATATAATTTTAGAATTTTTATTGTATCTTTGCATGTTTAAATGCCCATCGTTCTTGAGAACTTGAGTGGCCTACGTCATGATTGTTACGTAAACTTTAAAGTCTGAACGACGACTTCTATGTCAACAGCATGGAGTTTTGAAACGGTTCGTGACGAAATCCAACCAACCCAGTCCGGCCCTGAGTACACGCCTCGGTGATAAACACACAAATGCGACAGATGCGACGTGACAAATCAGAATTTATTGTCACGGGGCAACAATATGTTATTGACAAAGACTATACCTATAGTTTTGTTCGTAGTCCCAGTAGTCCTTGTAACGCGGGTGCCAGCGCGGGCCCCCGCGCGAATAGGGCCTTCTTGAGCCCCCCTGGCTCATGACCTCTGCGCCATACCAGCTCGTTTTATCGATCCGCGCCGACACGCCGGAGCTCAACGCTCCGCTCCGCCTCACTAACACCAAACAACACAACACTGACACACTGCACTGCGACACTTTTGCAAGCACAAGGATTATTTGAATTTATTATTTCTAGGACTCCCACTGAGCCCTACGCTCTTGTTTTGGAACCTACTGCAACGACGCGAAGCTCGCGCGGACTGAGCTCACGCAAGCGCACGAAGTCTTTATGTCAGCAGCGCCGCCTAGTGTACGCGCCACGCACTACATTCAAAAACGACCGCGAAATTCAACATTTTGTTAAAAATATTTTTTTGATACACACAATAGTCACAAAATGAAATGGCACGACTTAGAGTTAACATTAAAGAATAAATAATGCGTTAGTGCAATAAAATCCAGTTCAAAGCAGGGTACGGATTAACACTTCAGTCAGTATTGATTTTATATTAGCGGCACGTATGCATCGCATTATAGTTCTTCACAAGCTAATAATAAAATGTCCTGGATGTCCGAGAACAACGGGCGTGTTATCGCGCACTTAAAATGGTTCGTCACCGTTCACATAATTAATGTGAATCAGGCTCGGTGATCTCGCCTCGGTCGTCACGCACTGGCGCATACCATAATCTCGTGAAACGCACTTTATTAACGCAAAACAGTTTTTCCATGAAGAAATAGAACATAGAAACGGCAAAAACCAAGCAGTTTCAAGAAAAAATCCAAGATAATGTAACGCTATGCGCCCAGTCCGGACGACCGATACGTAAGCCTCATTAAAAAAAGTTTACACAACTCGTGTTATCTGCGGATTGTTCGCTGTATTCAGCGGTGTTGTTGTGATTCTTGTTGGACTGGTGTGAGTGGGTAGCGCTGTAGCGCTTGAGAAACGGATGGGTCCGCCCATTGTTATTATAATGCAGCCAACATGACGCACATAGTGCAGTGTGAAGTTGGCGACGAGTGTCCACGTGTTGGTGTCTCTGTCCCGCCAATGGGAGCGAGCGAGGCAGTGTATTCTGGTGTGTAGGGGCGCGGCGTGCGTGCCTCGCTCGCGTTATGGCGCCTACCTAAACCCATGCAGCGTTCGCGATGCTATTTTTGTGATGACACAACTGCGAGACCGACTTTCACTTAATTTCGTCTTATTTTGCAACAGAAGCGAAGTGGTGACTGTTATAACGGGCACCCATATGATAAAGTTACGGTATTCTTTTTATTATAATCTAGTTGGATACGGATTTCCTAACTTATTAGGTTTAAATCGAATAGTTTTCTATAAGGATAAAAACTTAAAAGTTTAAATAGGTAATCAATGAACTCATTTCAAATTAGGTATTTAGACTAGATAGCCTCGTTTGTTTGTATTTATTTGTATTTTGAATAAGTACCTAGTCAACTACAATTATAAATCTAATTCGGTCAAGTTGCATATTAGGTCACTATAACATACAGACACTCGACTACATATTTGATTTTACAAATATGTACTTAAAATGACGTAATATGACCTAATTTTTATAGAGCACAAATAAATAGCACTTAGTTACAGTATTTTTTTAAGGGGGAAAATCATCGAATTACGGTGAGGCGGGAGGGAGTGTCAGACTCTTACTGACTAAAAACCACCCCGTTCCTTCTCCTGCACGTCGAGCCGGAGCTCCGGTTACCCGTTAGGTTCTCCGCGACTGATTACAGTATGGCTCCGACCCGTAGTTACAGTCGGCCTAGCTACTAACAGGAGTAGGAACGGGGTGGTGTTTAGTCAGTAAGAGTCTGACACTCCCTCTCCAGTGACTTCAGTCTCTCAGTGACAGGAGAAATCACTGGATGATATCTCCGCTCAAAAATGTATCATCAATCATCAACAGCTTATAAATGCCCACTGCTGAGCAAAGCCTCTCCTCACACGGAGAAGGTTTGAGCATTAATCACCACGCTTGTTCAACGCCGGTTGGCGATTTCAAACTTATAATTAGAAATTATAAGTCCAGGTTTCCTCACGATGTTTTCCTTCACCGTTTGTCAGTGGTGTCTGGATAATCTTAGAAAGTACGTATAACTCGGAAAAAGTCACATTGGTACTTGTCGTTGGTAGGTTTCGGACGCGCACCCGCATGCATAAGAAGCGGGCGTATCATTATAGTATACCATACCTTATTTTAATATTTTCTTTTGTATCGAAGACGAATTTGACATTTTACAGCCGACATTTGGCCTCTATCTCTCCTGATGGTAAGCTACGACGACGTTTGACGATAGTTGCGTTTAAGACAGTCTAATATAAGGTAAAATGAAAACCAACACAAATAATATAAAATTCATATATTTATTATACATTTATTATGTACAAAGGAAATATTATTCATAGGTCGATAGATAATTTTACGAAACTCCACATAGAAATTTCATGTTATAATTGGGATGATGACAGAGTATGAAAATTAAAAATATAATTAGTCCGTAAGTTACGTAATGAAAAAATATTAGACACTTATTTTTTTCTTTTGTCGTACCTATAGTAAAACAATACTTAGATAAAACGAATCAAAGTTTAGGAGTGGGGGCTAAAACGTCATTTCTACGTATAAAATGTACATAGAAGTGACGTCACGCGACATTTCAAATCAATACATCGTCGAAAGTATTCGTTTCTGTAAGAAAATAAAAAATACGTGTCTAATGATTTAAAACAATCTACCAGACGGACATTAAAATAAAAATTAGGCATCTACTCTATTATCATCATGCGTACAGCCACGTACTATCCCCTGCCTCCCCCAGTCCTCCCCCAATTACTACACGTCGCGAGGTTGGAAACGACCTGCATACTGCGACGCCCTTTACCGGGTCGCCTACTCTTGAAATCAATCTAAACGTCAATGCAATTTCAATCCATTAAATCTCAATAATTATTCAATGTCAACACTATACGACCACAATCGTAGCTGTTACAATAGCATTCAGAGTACGGAATATAAAGACAAACTCAATACCATTTAGTTCATTCAATATCCACGCAATACGGATGCAATGGGCGCTAGTGTTGCAACTCAAGAGTACGAAATTTCATAATACCAATATCGATCGATCGGAATTGGATTCAAGAGTAGGCCCCATTGTCGTTTTAGTAAAATTATCTATCGCCTTTGACATATATTAGTTAATATCTAAGTAATCATTGAACACGTAATAGATGGATCAATTCATGGAGCCGACTTCCACCGACTTCCCACGAAGTCATCCGAACTAACAACGAAGTCATCCTATTACGTCAACGGCTGACATTAATACATAGTATAAAACAAAGTCGCTTTCGCTGTATGTCCGTATGTATGCTTAGATCTTTAAAACTACGCAACGGACTTTGATGCGGTTTTTTTTAATAGAGTGATTCTTAAGGAAGTTTATATGTATAATACATGCATATTGCACCCGTGCGAAGCCGGGGCGGGTCGCTAGTAAATAATATATCGTCGATCCAAAATCTATGGATTGGTATATGCTGTTGAAAGAAACTCTATAGGACTTTCTTTTAAGGGGGAAAAAATCATCGAATGACTGCTCCCGCCTGGGTGAGACGGGCGGGAGGGTCAGACTCTTACTGACTAAAAACCACCCCGTTCCTTCTCCTACACTTCGAGCCGGAGCCCCGGTAACCCGTTAAGTCCTCCGCGGCTCCGTATCTTCATCAGCCCCATCCGTGGTGGTGATGTCTGATGACTCTTTGAGGCGCGCGTGGAACGCTCGGCACCGCTCACTCGGGTCTGGTTCTGGTCTACCCATGCTCGCCGTCCGCAGGCCCGTGCTTACGGCGGCCGCAGATCGTCTCCCGATCCCCGACGCCCGGCACGGGTGCAATATGCATGTATTATACATATAAACCTTCCTTAAGAATCACTCTATCTATTAAAGAAAACCGCATCAAAATCCGTTGCGTAGTTTTAAAGATCTAAGCATACATAGGGACAGACAGACGGCGGATAGCGACTTGGTTTTATACTATGTAGTGATATACATATTACATACGTATTCATATAAATTTCGCTATTTCACCCCATGTAATAAGAATTCAGCCGACAACAAACATAACTAATCTATTAGAAGTCAACCAATACATTTCGAAGTCACCCGAATTGTAAAAAAAATCACCCAATACATTTAGAAGTCAGTCAATTTCGTTGGAAGTCGTCTAGAAGTCGGTTTCGTTGGAAGTCGGCTACAATAAGTAGTCGCTGGGGTCGTATAATTCTGACAGCATACGGTACATGTAGGATGGGGAACTGCCGCCACTGTGGACAAGAAATAGAGTGTCATTGTTTGAAATTAAAATAATTACAGCACTTAATGCCACTGTAACACACAATGTAAAACCCACTATTCACTATGTATTTATGTTATGAGTCCCATGTAATAGGGGGGGAGCCTATTGTAATATACCGGGCACAATTGAGTATTTTACAACTAATCAAAATACTTCTATCGAAACGTCAAAAACTATATTGTTCTATGAATTTTGTACCGAAAACTAACTTATGACGTCATCAGATTTTCGAGTCAAATAGCATAGGTTTCATTCATAATTCTGAAAGAATTGCTAGAATAAATCGAAAATTAAGTATATCGTCAAATATGTATATGAATGAAATTGTAATTATTTTTTAATATTTAATTGGATTGAAAAATCAAAATATTTTAATTTTGAAATTTTGACCCAGGAAAATACCCAATTCCAGACTCCGTGCTACTACTGTTTTTATTTTAATTAATTCTTAATTAGGAACTTTCGAAATGTTAAAATTGAATTGGCAAAAAGGCCCGTAACGCACTTATAACGACTCTGGTGTGTCCATGGGCGACGCTAATTGCTTACCATCAGGTGTTCCGTCTGCTCGTTTAAACATAAAAACCTAAAAATAAGGTGTAGGCCTTTCGTTTCCCTTCTTATTATAGTTGGGATATCATCTCGCATACTTACAGATTGGTAATGAACAGGGTGACGTTGTCTGGCGGCGCGAAGTCGTACAACGGAGCGTACACGTGCACGTTGTCGCTTGTGGCTTCGTGGTGGCTGGAAGTATATTCATTTATTATTAAATAAACTAGCTTCTACCAGGCTTCGCCCGCTTCCCGGGACTAATAAACCTATATGTTGTTTTTTGAAAGAATGTGGGAGAGCCTTGCTTCGGCACGAATGGACCGGCTCGACCGTAGTGATACCACGGCCGAGCAGAAAACTGACGTGAAGCAATCACATCGTGTGAGTGAGGTTACCGAAAGCCCAATACCCCCGAATCCTCCACAATCCTCAAATTCCCAATCCCCAAAAGGCCGGTAACGCGTTTGTAACGCCTCTGACGTTCCAGGTGTCCATGGGCGACGCCGATTGCTTACCATCAGGTGATCCGTCTGCTCGTTTACCGGCTTATACCATAAAAAAAGACAATAGTAAATCAGTCGTACTTACTCGTATGACAGTGCTGTATGAGGCGAACCGGATGAGTTGAAGGGAGTCAAGTCGTGTATCGGACACAATTTGTATAGGGGAACTAGAGCCAGCACCTAGACAGAAAAAATAATAGAGTGTATAATATTCATGACTAGCGACTCCCACGCTGTCCCACCCACTCAGCTAGGCGCCTATTGATCATAGCTTGATGTTTATAGCTTATTATTACATCACTCCTTTCATCCCCGAAGGTAAGCAGAGGTGCACATTACTGCACTTAATGCCACTGTACAATGTAACACCCACTTTGCACTATTTATGTTATGACTCCCATGTAATAGGGTAGATGACTAATTTTTATTTTAATGTCCGTCTGGTAGGTTATTTAAAACTATTAGACACGTATTTTTTATTTTCTTACCGAAACGAATACTTTCGACGATATATTGATTTGAAATGTCGCGTGACGTCACTTCTATGTACATTTTATACGTAGAAATGACGTTTTAGCCCCCACTCCTAAACTTTGATTCGTTAATAAGTATTATTTTATTATACGACAAAATAAAAAAATACGTGTCTAATATTTTTTCATTACCTAACTGACGGACTAATTAGATTTTTAATTTTCATACTCCGTCATCATCCCTATTCCAGTGACCGTGCTACTACTGAGAATTTTTAAAAAACCCAATAATACATTGTTCGACCCGGATATCAATCCCGAGACACTTTGCCCGGCAGTGGCACTTGCGATCACTCGGCCAACGAGGCAGACGTTTATAGCCTTCCTCGATAAATGGACAATCCAACACAAACAGAATTATTCAGATCGGATAAGTAATTCCAGAGATTAGCGCGTTCGAACAAACAAACAAACAAAATTTTTAGCTTTTTTTATACTACACTAGCGACCCGCCCCGGCTTCGCACGGATGCAATATGCATGCATTATACATACACCTTGCTGAACTCGTCGAGTACCGTCATTATAGACACAATTATAGAACAATAGATTGCGGTCACCGGTGACCGCTTGGTATTTGACAGTTTGTAAGAATCACTCTATCTATTAAAAAACTGTTTCGACGTATGAGTGAGGCTACTGGTGGCCCAATTATCCCTCTTCCCTGAATCCCCATAATCCTCAAATTCCTAATCCCCAAAAGGCCGGTAACGCACTTATAACGCCTCTTGTATTCCAGGTGTCCATGGGCGACCCCGATTGCTTACCATCAGGTGATCCGTCTGCTCGTTTACCGGCTTATGCCATAAAAATGTACTTACAGGTACTCGATAATGTCTAGCAGCTAGAGTGACGGAGAAGACACCAGCCTCCGACAGTATAGCGCCACCACCCAGCGCTGCCTTCACGCTGATCACCACCTGGGAATGTCAAAGTCCATGTTAACATCTAAGTAAATTATAATGTAGAATATTCAGTTTTTAGTTCTTAAACGTTGCCCCACACTAGTATTGTCTCCTGTGTCGTGGGTGCGTTTACAAACATACAAGTTCACATACACATCACACACAGACACGGAACAACCTACTGACTACAAACGAACTTTTCAGCTTTATATCCTCTCAACTGCTACGGCTCTTACGCGCCATCTCCGTTGACTGCTAACTTGCAAAAAAAAATGGCGGAAAAATAGACACCGGAAGGGGGACCGTCAGATTTTACGTAAATTTCTTTATTTTTGTATATCAAATACTATAACATGTATGCATTTCTGAATTCTGTATGAAATTTCCTATAAATGAATATACAAACTTCATACACTCCTTGAGTAAATACTGTTAGTAAAAGTTGAATAAAGTTTTAATTGTGGTATTTATCAATAAAACATGGATTTCTTATAGTTCAGTTATGTTTTATTTTAAACTTAAATCTAATATTTACAATATTTGATGTGTTAAATCATAGGCTTTAATACATTTTTTTATCATAAAACGCATTTACAAACACCCGTAAATCACCCACCATATTCTGACACGGATCTAGAATGAAGTTGTAACTGGATGCGGCATTACCGGATTAATCAATACAATTATTATCAATGACTTGACGTCCAGAAACAAAAATTGTTTTGAAAACAACTTTTGTTCAATGGTCAAGCGTGAGTCGGTATTTTTTTAACCAACTTAATAAAAAGGAGGTGTATGGTTTTCCAGAACTGCCCAGTTTCCGTATTTCGTAGTATTTTTCCGTTTAGTAGGGGATCCGTAGCTAAATGGCAAAAAACGCAACCCTTACAAATTCATCATGTCTGTCTGTCAAAACACAAAATTTACAAAAAACATTAAGAAACGTCAGTAAAAAAACTAACCTAAGAATTTGTCAGTCTGTCTGTGATGTGATGACTCTATCGAGGGTTCCAAAATGCAACGAGACTGAGAAGTACCCCCAAGAAACTCAGTCCGGCTTTTTTCAACATCTATTACATAGTTTTTTTATGCTTAAGACGATGAGCAATTCATTCACTGCCAAGCAGCCTTGTCATTGAAAAACTCTTTAATGCTATAGTAAGCCTCATGGCACAATTTTTGCTGATAATTCAGGCACATTACTTGGTAGTGTATTGTACTTACGGATACAGTTGTCCACCCGTATATCACAGTCACTTTTCTGCCAAACTATAACTCAAACTCAAAGTCATTTATTTCTTTTGGTTTTTACAAAAAGCACACAGAAACGTCAAATAAAAACTATACGGTATGTTACGATTTGTCAGTCAGTCTGTCTCGATTCTAACTTGGGGAGGCTGTGTCAGTCAGTCAGTCTGTTCGTTTAAGAATGGTACTGTATGTAGCAGCAATCTCGCTCTGGGTCAAAACATAAAGCAACGTTGCACTGTTTGCAAAACTGGTAAGTACGCTTTTTGCAAACAGCACACTGACGCTTTTGTCTACCAAATCCATTCGGCAGAGTTGGGAGCCATGTTGGAAAGTGCGCTATCACCTCAGGCGATAGTTTTGGCCCAGCGAGAGATAGCAGCGGAGCGACACTGACGGACTGCAAAGGCTGGCTATGTTTTTGTAATATAGCCTTAATTAAATCGGTTCTGAAGTCTCTGTGATCGACTGATTCATCAAAACACTTGCTGATAATGTAAGCGTTTAGAACGCTCACATTCAGAAGCCTTTTGAAGAATTTTTTGTACCATACCATAGTACGTTTTCTCTCTACAGGATACGTAGATAACATCTGGTCTTTACGATCTACGCCCCCCATACAGATATTATAATCTTTGACAATTGTGGGCTTACCATCAGAGACTGCGACCCCATGGTATGTCGAAATCATAGCAACCTTGTTCTGATCTCGCCACACCATCAGGTCGACGTCTCCGGATGTGCAGCCGCACACCTGTCCTACTCTCATGTTCCCCTGCTTTAAAGCGACAATTTCATTTGGGACAAATTGTCGGTTGGTCCGCAAAGTCCCGACGCAGTCGAGACCAAGCGTTTTTAAGACGCGGGCTAAAGAAGGGGAGTTATAATAGTTGTCCATCCATATGGTACGACCACTGTGTTCAAGGCCGTCCAACAGTCGAAGAACTAAATTTGGTATACTCCCCACAATTATTCTATCGTTCTCCGTGGATGGACTTTCAGCACCCGTATGGACTTCAAACCGCCACAGATATCCTGTGCGGGAGTCACATACTTCGTATGTTTTGATTCCAACTGCGGACTTTTTGTTTGGTATGTACTGTTTTATGTTTAACCAGCCCTTCCACTGCGTCAGTGACTCGTCGAGTGCAACGTTTTGGTAAAGATTAAACAATTTAGAAAATGCTGAATTTAAATGGGTAACTATTGGTTTGATTTTAAATAGTTTAGCCTCTTTAGGTAATAAATCTGGCATAAGAAGTCTATTATCATTAAAGTGTAAACATCTATTAATAAGCTGGAACCTAAAAAGAGGCATATATGCGGCAAAATGTGGTGTGCTGAAAATATTGCCATCGCGGCACCAGTATTCTTCCATTTTTGATTTGACAAGGACCCCCATAGCCAACACTATGGCAAAATAGACGTAAAGCTCGTCTAACGTGACGTCTTTCCACCTAGTGATGCGACTATGGGGGCCCATCAACCCCGTATCAAGTAAATGGGAGGCATACTCCTGTGCGTATAAATTAGTTTGGGTGACAATGTGCCCCATGATTGAATGGTCCCAAATCCTTGTGAATATCTCATAAGGATCTGTGGTCCGTTCAATCGTGGGGCCACTGTCACCAACAAACTTTTCGCGGCGCTCGGCAGGTGAAATAGGTTCCGTGGGGTAGCTCCTCCAAGTAAAATCGTACAGTGAAGAAGGTCCATTTGCTACCCCAGGGACCAAGGTGGACAACTGCTCCACATCAATGCGCCCGGCCGCTTCAGCCTCTTCGTTAGTATCTTCTTCGGGTTCAAAGAACATTTGCAGTGTGCGGGGAATCATGACCTCATTGTCGGCGCCATCCTCCTCCTCTTCACTTCCTATGGAGAAAGAAATAATTGACCAACCTATACATTAAATAATATGAATTGCTGGTGTATTATAAAAAAATACCAACCATAGTTGAGGAAGTCCTCAATCTCATTATCCTGTAGCCGACGATGAGGACCATACATTCCCCGCGCACGTGGCGTAATTGATGTACTACATTCCACAAACCTGAAATATAAAATAAATATATTATTTGAAGAATACTTTTGTGTTGAATTTTAATAAAACCTTGTGCGATGATACTTACACGCTCGGTGAAGGAGGGTCATCACATGTACTGAAACCAAAAAAAAATATTATTAACAAACAAACATATATATTATTTGCGGACACGCCCACTTCATAACACAGTATAACAGGTTATTTTATTACTTACTGAGCCACGCTCTGCTCCTGTATTAGGTTGCCTCCCGCCACGCTACCTTCCGCGACGTCACTGTTCATGACGACGCCTGCGTCGTCGGTAGGCGTTGATGACCAGATACTATTATAACAATAAAATAAGTTTAAAGTTACACGATTAACAGCAACTTGAAACAGGTAAAATATTTTTTCTTACCCTGATGTACTGGGAACAGCAGCTTCCGGTACATATCTGCGTCGCTTAGGCGGGTGCAAAGGCACCTCAAGAGGGCTACCGGCTGGCAGCTCCTCTATCATGCCGACGTTAATACTTAAAAGAAAACAGTTTTTTCAGGTTTACACGATTCGTATGCATATTTACTATTTGCTAAAAACGGGTCATAAATGTCGGATAAATGTCGTTAATAATATTACTGCAAATATCGGGATAAAAGTCCTAGCCTATGTCCGTTATCGGATCCCAAACTACCTCTATGCCAAATTTCATCAAAATCGGTTCAATGGTTAGGGCGTGAATGATGGACGGACAGACATACAGATTTACTTTCGGATTTATAATATTTATTAGGATTAATATTCAAGCAATTATGACTCCTTTAGAAAAATAGTGAATATAGAAAATCATTGAAAATTTAAAAAGCCTAACAATTAAATAAAAATAAAGCAATTACTCTTCTGCTGATATATGAGGCCGATTATGCACACCACCACGAACGCGCATTCCTCTTCCCCTGCGTCCTCCTCTACCACCGCGTGTACGCACACCGCTAAAGCAAAGTGAAATGTGCAAAAGTAAAAGCATGTGCGAAAAACAATCACCACAACAAAAAAAAAAACCAAATGCGAAAAACAAACACCACAACAAAAAATAAAATTAAAAAAAAAACAAACTTCACAAGAAAAAAAAAGTAAAAAAAAACGGTTGTTTAACCCACCCCAACAACATTTTAGATAGGTATATCAAAATACAAAATATTTAAATACAATTAAAAAAAATATATTATTAAAAACATTCACACTAAGGTATCCAAATGCCACATCTAGTTTTTCCTAAATCAGCGAATCAACATGGAGTCGGACAAAGCCCCGTAGTCTCCGTGGCGGCGCTAGTTTCTTTGCAAATCTAACAATTCATCCGAATATGAACTTTATGCAGTATGGCAGACTTTTAGTTCCTTTTTTCGCCACCGGTAAAAGAAAAAATTGGAATTCGCTATTGTCAAGGTCAAAACTTTGACTCGATAGGACTTATTGCGTATTTACATTGATTATTTGAAATTAATGCGCTATATCCACATTTGAATGTATTTAAACTGTAGATGATGAATATTTAAACATATTTTAACCTAGAACTGACAGCAAACACTAAAATTTAATATACTTTTTATGTAAACATTCGGCAACAAAAAATTTAATTCTAAAATGGCGGTTTGCTTCATGCACTTTAAAAATTCATTTCACTCGTAATAAATGAAATAAAAGACAAAATGAGGATACAAAAACAAAGGTTACTTACCCAGGCATTGTTTAAACACAATACACTCACAAAAACTTCACTTTTTAATTTATAACTTTGAGCTGCAAAAACTCGGAACGCGCGTCAATGACACTTGTTGGCTCACTGAAGTGGCCAACAAAATCAACAGACGATAAATCATAATATTTATTCTAACGAATCTGTGCTTTGGGGTTTATATGCTAGCTTTTTCTATCCTGAACGCATCGATATATGATTGAATGAGATAGAAATAGTCCTTAATGGTTTATTTCTTCATTCAAAAAGCGGGAAAAAAAAGTCCAAGAGCTGGACGTTAGCAGTTGACGGATATTTTGTCGAGTCCAAGAGCTGGACTTTGACAGTTGAGAGGATATTATAGCATAAGATTTGAATGTTACACAATTGGGTAGTTTCGTTAATCAAAAATAAATTATTTCGTTTGCTCAATACAATAAAATACTTTAAAATAATTACACTTTAATTAATTGATTTTATGACCAACTTAACTTCAGTATTTTTCCAGCAAATTTTTAAGAAACAAGTACGCTGTTTGACGCTAAAAAAACGTGACGTCACAATACACAATCTCGTACAAAATTCATAGAAAACTGTCGTTTGTGACAGTTCGAAAAAAGTATTGAATTTGACTAGTTAGCAAGTACACAATTATGTTACCTTATTAACTCGTGACATGACAGCGTAGATGGAAGCTGCGCTGATGACGGTCACCGGCACCCCGGCTGCACTCAGACGGTTAGCCATCGCATGGCTCTGTAGAGAAAGTACATAACATCACGCCTTTAATCCCGGAGGCAAGGTAGGCAGAGGTGCACATTATGGCACTGAACTCATACATCCCCAAGCGGTCACCGGTGACCCTTCTCCACTAACCACATTATAGACCTTATTTCCAATGTTTAGAGACTACTTTTATATGAACAAATTTAGGGGATGATAATGCCACTGTACATTATAACACCCACATTTCACTATTTACGTTATGAGTCCCGTGTAATAGGAGGTGAGCCTATTGCCATATACCGAAAACAATTCCAGACTCCGTGCTACTATTGAGAATTTTTTTTAAACCCAGTAATATTTTGCCTGAACCGGGATTCGAACCCGAGACCCCTTGCCCAGCAATCGTACTTGCGACCACTCGGTAGAAACATATACATACCTCAGTAGGATCAGGTCCTTCAGCCAATATCAACTTATACTTCCGAGGAGCTGCAGCGCGGAGGAACCTCTCCGTGATGGGGCTGGCTCCGTACGTGAGGATCAGCTCGTCTCCATGTACGTGTTCCCGGGCCTGACCGCATATACTAGATATGCTGGATTCCAGCTCGCCTCGCAGCTGGAAAGAGATAAGGAATGAAAATTTATATGATGAATGTAACATGACACTGGTTTGGACATCAGGTGATCCGTTTGGACGTTAACCGGCTTATGACATAAAAAAACTGGGCCTCCGGTAACCTCACTCACACGACGAAACGCAAGCGTTGTTTCACGTCGGTTATCTGCTCGGCCGTGGTATCACTCCGGTCGAGCCGGCCCATTCGTGCCGAAGCATGACTCTCCCACAGTTAATAGTCTTAGCGAGACTGACGAACGGAAATTCATGTTTATTTATAATAATATAGTTTACTTACCTCAGCGATATAATCTCTCAAAGGTTCTCTCAGATCATGCTGGGCTGTACCTAACGTGGCACGCCGAGCGCTAGCCGCTAGCACCAACCGCTGTAGACTCTCTCCAGAACCTTCTATGCCCTGGAATTATAAAGAAACAATAATTAGTACTCAATAATTTAGCTGTAATATTCATGACCTAATAATAGGGTACATTCCTAAATTTAAAAATAATGTCCGTCTAGTACATTAATTTAAAACTTAAGACACGTATTTTTTATTTTCTCACAAAATTAAATATTTTCGACGATATTGAAATTTGAAATATCGTATGACGTCACAGCGTGCCACATTTTGTAGCACGTTATGACGTAACGACCTCCCACTCCTAAACTTAGCGCCATTTTATCTAAGTATTGCAACTTAATACGACAAAATAAAAAATACGTGTCTAATATTTTTTCATTATCTAACTGACGGACTAATTAGATTTTTAATTTTGATACCCTATTGTGAATAAGAATTAATGTGAATCCAGGAAAACGGTGAAGGAAAACATCGTGAGGAAACCTGGGCCTATAATACCAAATTATAAGTTTGAAATCGCCAACCCGCATTGAGCAAGCGTGATGATGAATGCTCAAACCTTCTCCGTGTGAGAAGAGACCAGCAGTGACATACTTATAGATCAATGATGATGATTATTTTTATTTATTTATATTTATACAGTCACAAAGTTGATTTGGTTGGTGATAGCAGGAATACCACAAGGCTGAAATGATGGCAAATTCTGTAACTAGATAAAAGACACCAATTAAGGGTGGACAATTCTGGGGATGGTGGAAGAGTATTTAATGGAATACCTCCTGTAACACTAAAATAAAGACACAACATCTCAATTACCACGGCAGAAAATCCAATTACAGTAACTAGTTGTGTTATCAGTTACCTGATTCCCTTGAGCTCTGTTCTCATCGCGGATGGCTCTGAGCAGCCTCCTAGCTACGTTGGCTATCACCAGCTCGTTTGGAAGAGCAGCCATTACCTGCCGACCAGCAGCACGGATGGCGCCGCATAGATCTCTAAAGAAAAATAAATACATCTTTAGTTTCTTCTTGGTATTTACAAAATCACGCCATCACGCTAAGATAGAGTGTAGGTAATAAGCGCACATAAAGAATACTGCTTTTTTATAATATCTAACTATCGTGAGACATACTAAATTAACTAAAATCGCGGGTTACGCACGTGAATATACTGAGGAAAGCTCTACTAGTTTCGAACCACAGAGGGGTTCTTCACAGAGCATGCACGGTCGCGGCGATGTCGCTAAGCCTATTGACTGGCTGGCGTTGGCGCTTGCATCGGTATTATTACTTGCGCTGCGAGCCCACCGGGCCCTCACGTGAGTAACCCGCGATTTTTAGTTTATTTAGTATGTCTCACGATAGCTATTATAATAACAACCCCTACGGTAGGATAAGTGACACATAACTGTACAAGAAAAGGGTTTTAAGATTTTGACTCACACTAATAACTCTTAGTTATGAGCCTAAAACTTCAATCCCCAAAGGGTGGTAACACACATGAAGGCCCCTTGTGTTCCGTGTGTCCATGGGCGACGCCGATTGCTTACCATCAGATGATCCGTTAAATCTGCAACAATCCTCAAATCCCTCATCCCTAAAGGCCGGTAACGCACTTGTAATGCCTCTGGTGTGGGTGTACATGGGCGACGCCGATTGCTTATCATCAGGTGATCAGTCTACTCGTTTACTGGCTTATTGCATAAAAAAATACTTACACGGCTGTAGTATATTGAGACTCTGTGATTATGGTTTCCAGCAGTGTCACCATCGCCAGCACTCTGTTGGTAGAACCTCGGATCTTCCTGTAATATAGAATTAAGTACAATGTATGACTACCTCGTTGGCCGAGTGGTTGCAAGTGCGACTGTCGGGCAAGGGGTCTCGGGTTCGATTGGATCGCAACTTATGACGTCATCATATTTCTGTGTCGAACAGCATACTTATTTCCTTAAAATTAGCGAGACAAAATCCAAAAGTAGGTAAATTGTCAAATCAATGGATGAGAGTATGATTATTTCTTAATTATTTATTGCATTGAAAAGTTGAAACAATTTATTTTAAACCTAGGAAACTAGCCAATTCTTTGACTGATTTAATGAATTGTGTTCCTCCTTTATGTAGACTTTCTCAGCAAGAAAGGCATAGGTAAGATAGTATGATTGAGAAAAGTTGTATATTTTAGAAAAAATTACAAAATTTGCTATTTTTAAGATATTTTTGACGTTATCAAGTCTATAAATATTATTGCTGACACAGCATAATACAATTTCTGATGCAATCAGCGAGATAGAACACATTTGCAAATAATAGTTTATGATGTATATCTGGCCGTTCAACAAAGCATCTATGTTCTGTAAGGACGACAGTACCATAATGCTGTTTCCATACATGAATATCAAAATTTATTAACTAAAACTGTAAAAAAATATTTTTTTTGATACAACTTACCCATGTTTAATATCGGCTACAAATTTACCAATTAAAGTGACGAATTTATCGTCCAATTCCTTCACAGGGCCTTGGTAGAGAAACATTTTTAATAGCTACAGTTTAATTAAAGATTTTATAAGGAAATATTACTCGTTCATACAACCAAACACAAAATAATACGTGAAACTGGATTTGACAACTTAACCTAACTTTTTTGAAATGAGTGACGTAAATGACGTTTAGATGAGTCGTTCAGAATCGTGAACGGAAAGGATTCATTCAAGATAAATAAAATATTGCCGTGGTCGCCACCACCTATACGTCGGCCGGAGAGGCTGGCCACCGACTGGCTTGGGAACCACGAGCCAAGTCCAATCCACGAGGAAAGGGTTCCCGATGCGGTGGTTGTGTGCGGCGTATGAAATGAAATGGACTCAGTTGTGGTAAAAAGTTAATTGTATTGAAGCACTTGAACTTCTTTGGTGTTGCAGATGTCTACGGGCAGTACCCCTATACTTATTTTAGGGGCAGCTTTAATTACTAAGTATTATAATGGTAAATTCTATCCTGGTTTGCAGGGGCAAACAAAGGAAGGGTCCTTTTTTACGGAAAAAGAAGGGGTCAACTCCCTTCCTTTTCCATAAAAAAAGAAATAATCAAACTCTCAAACATATTTATTTTTAACTACATGTCGTGGGTTACTCACGTGAAACTAATGAAAAAGCTCTACTAGTTTCGAACTACAGAGGGGTTAATTCAATATATATCACGATAGTTATTATAAAAACATTTTTATTATAATTGTATAACGAAACAAAACATAACAGCTACTCATATACTAAATGATTTAGTAACTTGTTTCATAATTAACACAAAATAAACATAGAAATTATTAAAAACGGTATAATTAATAATAATTAAATTATTGTTCATACACTTAATATATTTCTGAAACATAATTCATGAGGGTAGCGTATACCTAAGCACCTTCTACTTCCAATTATGAAATTACTGACAAACATGATCAACACATGAGCAAAGCCGCATTATCTTCGGCACACCAACAAATAACTCTTTACGAATATCATCCCATGATACATTCTCACTCGTCTGAACGGAAACATCTTCAAAATTTTTCCTTTCTCTATAGAAACGAATATTCTTAACATTATTTTCACTATCATTCAAGATACGTGCTAAAACTTCACCCAAATCATCTGACGTCTTCCGTTTAGAAATGTTGAAGTTGGCGCCATTTTGCGATGATGACGTCACATCTGTTAAGTCATGTGTACTTCTATTAAATTCATTGCTTTCTTCTGAAACGCTTTCTTGATTTATTTCTGGTTCTGTCACTTGAGATAACTTTCGTTTTCGATTCCTCATTTCTTCAATGTTTTCGAAAGACGCGTGATTACTATCTGCTGAGGTTTCTAGTCTAGATTCTGCGAAAAAGATATTTTAAATGTTAATAAAACTAAAATTGTAGCTAATGCATTAAAATAGTTACCATATAACGTCACACCCTTTAGCAGCACTCAGCATAACGTAACGTAACTGAACCGTTCGGGCCGGTTAGAAATTTCATTAAGATGGCCCCCATTCCCAATAAAAAACACAGCAGTTCAGATGAAAACCCTTCCAGCTAGAGATCTGAGGAATTTTACCGTATTCCCACCCTGTAGTTACGCCATTGACCGAATGTACAAATATAATGGAAACTAAAGAAAAACTAAAGTATTGAATATCGTTGTACATTTACCTTTATTTCCTCCCCCTGCCATTAGTTCTTCTCTTTTATCCAGCATAGCTTGAGCTGCAGTCCTCTTCATCCGTCTTACAGGGAGTATAATACTCTTTGGAGAACCTTCATAGACTTGGCTCTCTATTTCGGGTAGATCTTGAAAGGCGTCCACATGGACTAGTGCTTTGGTTGTAATCTGTCTAAAGTGCGAACCTGTGAATAAAACAATTTATCATAACTTAACACTTTTTAATCCATTAAAGGGAAATCAGATATTTACATGCATAATGATTACAATGTAGCACTCATTTTGTACCGTTTTCATCAGTTATTTCATGTTAGAAGTCCCAAAGTGATAGGCTTCTGCCATATACTAGATATACCGAGCACAATTTGAGGCGTCTGCTATTACTGAACAATTTTTAAAACTAGAAAATCGTCGATAAGCGCGGCCTTTGCGCGTCCCAGGAATCATACCCGAGATACCTTGCTTGGCAGTCGCGCGTATGACTATTTTTTTTTTTTTTTTTTTTAAACGTTGCCCCACACTAGGATTTTCTCCTGTGTCGTGGGTGCGTTTACAAACATACAAGTTCACATACACAATGACACCCAGACCCGTAACAACAATTTGTGGATCACACAAAGTGTTGTCCCGTGCGGGAATCGAACCCGCGACACGTTGCACGGCAGCCGGTTGCCCAGCCACCGCACCAACCGTGCAGTCAGTCGTATTTTATGAAGGTATACAACACAAGATGATGATGATATTATTTAGAATTTTATAAATACCTATATCTGACATGACGTCCGTTTCATCTTCTTCCATCATATCAGTTGGCATATCAGCAAATTTTTCTTCTTTTTCCTCTTCTTCTAATTCTTTTGCGTTCTCTATCTCTTCTAGACCAGAATCAGTTAGTTCTTTACTGTTTTCTTCTTCAAGGCTTTCAGATTCTTCAATATCATTCCATTCCTTGTCATTTGTAGAAGAATGATCAAATTCGTCTTCATCTGCGTCTGCTATATTCATTCTTGATTTGTTCAAGTCTTCAAATCTATTTCGTTGGTCTTGTCTCAGATTTTTAGTTATTTCTTTTTGAGAAATGTTTTGATAACTTTCTTCTGAAGTAATACTAGATTTACGACTTTGATTTGTATTTCTCTTATCATTATTTTCTTCTCCTAACATCTCTTGATCTGTTATTTCTTCTTGACTTATGATTTCTACTAAATTTTCTCGATTAGGAAGTTCTTGATTATTTTCTTCAGTACTATAATTAGATTTATTCTGAGTATCTTGATAACTAATTGATTTATCGTCTGATTCTTCTTCAATCATCTCCTGGTTATTTGTTTTTTCTGTATTATCTATGATATCTTGAGCTGTTCTTACAGCAGTTGACATTGCATTTGTTTGTTGATTAGAAGTTAATGACACACTTGATTCTTCTTCTACAAATGATTCATCGCCATTATCTTTTTCTTTAGTGCTAGATGATTCATCATTACCTGCCTCCTGATCACTACTTCTGTCGTCATTACTTTTATCAGGATTACTCTCTTCTTCTTCCTTCAAATTTATTGATTCTGACTCCTCTTCTAATTTTTCGGAAGTTTTGGAAGCTTCTTCAGTATTTTTAGAAGCCTCTTCATTGGTAGATTTGGTATAATTCAGAACATCAACAATAACAGTCTCTATAGACTCAGAATCAGCGTGATACCCATTAGAAACATTGGAATCAGAACTTTTTCTAACATTATCTTCGTTAGAATTTGTATTATCATTAGCATCGCTATGATCATCATCTAAATCATTGCTATCTTCATCTTCATTAACTGGGCTATTAAATGTATAAGTATTAGGATTATTTAAGTCATTGTCATGATTATTGATTGCAATGGGGCTGTGTAAATCATTATCATGATCAGTTATTGATCTATCACTAAAGAATTCTTCATCGCTACTTAGATTCTGATTTAAAATGAACAACCTACTATATATTCTTTTGATTTTTATGTATAGTTTCTTATAGTGTTCTTCTGGTTCGTCGTGTTTATTTATTTTCGGTATTCTTTCTATTATGAGGGGAGGGAGAGGGCTGCAGAGTCTTTGTGGTACTTCCAGATGCTCGCAAGATCTCACAGGAGGATACGAGTCATCCGATTCTTCTGTGACTGGAGACAGAGCTGTAATAGAAATATAAATGTGGATAAATAGAATATAAAAATAGAAATATAGAAATATGGAATAGTCAACATTAGGTCAAAATCAGCAGTACGAATGCTTTGCTCGCCTTGGCGATGGTATCTGAGATCCTTCTCTTAACAGTCAAACTTGTGATCTATGAGGCAGTGCCCCTATTATATGGGATCAAAACATAACATCACGCCTTTTATCTCCGAAGGGGTTGGCAGAGGTGCACACAGAAGTAACACCCATTTTTCACTATTTATGTTATGAATCCCATGTAATAGGGGGTGAGCCTATTGCCATATATCAGGCACATTTCCAGACTCCGTGCTACTACTGAGATTTTTTTAAAAACCCAGTATATCTTTGACCGACCCGGGAATCGAACCCGAGACCCCTGCCCGGCAGTCGCACTTGCAACCACTCGGCACACGAGGTAGCGACTCAAAACGTAAGTATCGCTTAATCGGCGTTATATTTATCTACACCTCTGTCCTATCCCTTCGGGATTCAGAAGTCGATACTTTATGATAATGAGAAACATTGGTTACTTAGCGAAGGTAGCTTAATGAAGTAGGTACTTAAAAAACCACTTACTTGGTAGATCGTGAAAAAGACTCCGAATAAGTATGGATTTCCTTCTCTGCCAGTCTTCATCGTAGCTGCAGTAGCTTCGAGACATTTTTAGCTTACTTTCAGCTACTTTAATTAATACAGAACAATGTGCGTAATAAATATTCATAATGGGTAGTTGATAATATAATTGTAGACTTTGGTGGGTAGTTTCAAAAAATCACACGAACTACGTGACATTGTGCATTTGTAAAGTTAGATTAAAAGATATTTAACGTTAATATTAGTATCTCTAAGCTTATACTAAATCTAAGTTACATATGAATTAATTTTTTCAACATCCTTAACTTATACAATAAAAATACTAACTAAAAGATGACTAATAATAACAAGGAACAATGCCATTCCGGTTCACCTCATTCTCATGGATGAATCACTGAAAAAAATAACTGTTACCACAAAAATTAACCGTAATTCTTATTTAATGTACGACTTATATTATTTTCATGATTCTTTGCTGCATTTTATTATTATTCTTAGGTTTTATTAAAAGATAAATTTCCATTGAAATTATAATTTTTTCCACCTGACCCCGTTTATGAACGAAATCATCTGTCAACTATCCGTCAAAGTCTGTCAGTTTTGCACAGCTGTCAACACAAAATCAATAATTCTTATTCGCTAATAAATTCGTGATTTAGAATTAATTAACGTTTTCTATCCGCAATGCCGGTTGAAAAAATAATATGGTGCACACTATAGTGCATTTAAAATGTAGTTTCAGTGAGGAATTTGGTGTGTGCAGCCGTTTTAATTTACTGTAGTTCTCGCAACGCTTGAGCGGCTGTTTAGGCCGGAAATGTCGGCTCGATTCGCGTATTTCTTTTAAATAAAAACGCAATGGACTTGTCTCCGGACGAGGATAACTTCCAAGGGCGTCTGCTGCATCAGGTATATTAGTTAATTAGTAAAATGTTGAAGTTGTTACACTTTGGCAATGAGCTGTGAAACAGCGGTTTATTTTAGTTTTTATTGGAATAACTTGTGTGTTATGAATGTATTTGGCTGGAGAAGGTCTTATGCTATATTATTAAGTGCAATTTATAGTAACTATGTGAGTTTGAAAGCCTGAAAGTACCTTGTGGAAGTTTTATTTAGTAAAATATGTTGGTACTATATTTTTTATATTATTTACTTTGGAATTATTTATTTGTGATTGAATATATTACACTATTTTAATGTATTTAAGTAATAAAATATAGGTGAGTAGAAGAACATTTTTTTTTTGTATTTAACTCGTCCGGTACCGGTTTTGTAGACACAATTATAGAACAATAGGTTGCGGTCACCGGTGACCGGTTGGTGTTTGACAGTTTAAATTAGTTATTCAGTTTATTTAATGTATAAAAAATTAACTTTATTAAGTTAAGTATGAAAAAATATTTCATTTAAACTTTAAATACATATAATTAAAAACTAAAATATTCACACCTTAAAAAAACAAAAAAGATATTAATAAAATGTTATCTTAGCTTAAGGCATCTAAAAAAAATTTTTCATCATCGCTACCGTGAGGTAGGGTGCCCAAAAGACTAGCAACATTGCCACGTTGAATGGCAATGCTTAACCTTTGTCCAAAATAGTAGCCAGCCCTTCGATCACCTGAAGTGTCAACCATCCTCCTTACATTTAATTTCATTTCATTTATTCAATAAACAATTTACATTGTATCTGAATGTCCTCATGATCATAAATTACATTGCAATATAATCCATGCAGCATGGATCAGTCATATTACTCAAAAAATAATAAATAAAAACATAACAGAACAATTAAAATAATAATGAAACGAGAAATAATCCAGTATAACATGACAAAAGTCCAATTTAGAAAGAAATTACATAATTGGGTACTTTTCAGATAAAAGTGGATCAATCATAAATTGTTCCGCAATCAAATGATTGAATTAAAATATATATATGTCAACAAAAAACTGCAATAATAGATTAAATAATTGAATTGAAATACATGTCAAGAAAACACTTCAATAACACATTAAATACATAACAATACCTTTGTAAAGAAGATGTGCACTGTACATTTGTTAGAAATAACTTTATTGATAGATTGATACCAACAACCTTTACTACAAAAATTATTGTAGGATAGGACTTGGGCAGCTAAAAAAATGACAGTGTTTATTAGAATTATTTAAAAAAAAATCAGTATTATCACGGAGTCTGGAATTGTGCCCGGTATATGACAATAGGCTCACCCCCTATTACATGGGACTCATAACACAAATAGTGAAAAGTGGGTGTTACATTGTACAGTGGCATTAAGCTGTCAAACACCAAGCGGTCACCATGACCGCAACCTATTGTTCTTTAATTGTGTCTATAGTGACGGTAGTCAACGAGTTAAGTGCCATAATGTGCACCTCTGCCTACCCCTTCGGGAAAGAAAGGCGTGATGTTATGTTGTATGTTGTTATGTATATAGATATACTGATTATTCCTCTTTCACCAGGCTGCTCTCTGGGACAACCTAGAGCTCCTCCAAGAGCTGATAGCAAGTGGTGCAGGAGTGGACGCCCGCGATGGTTCCAACCGCAGCGCTCTCCATGCCGCAGCACTGGCTGAGCGGAGCCGTTGTTTGTCAGCGCTGTGTGCTGCTGGCGCTGATATTGATGCTAAGTCTGATGAGGCTACTGGAGGGAAGGTGATTTGTTTTTGATAGTTCTATTTGGGAGGGTGGGTAGAGATGTCCAGTACTGTCTTTTTTATGATTGTATGAGTGAGTGTGGGAGAGCCATGCTTCGGCACGAATGGGCCGGTTCGACCGGAGTGATATCACGGCCAAGCAGAAAATCGACGTGAAGCAACGCTTGCGTTGTGTTTCGTCGTGTGAGTGAAGTTACCGGAGGCCCAATTTTCCTGCCCTCTCCCAATCTCCCCAATTCCTGAATCCCCAACGATTCTCAAACTCCTGACCCCCAAAAGGCCGGTAACGCACTTGTAACGCCTCTGGTGTTCCAGGTGTCCATGGGCGACGCCGATTGCTTACCATCAGGTGTATCGTCTGCTCGTTTGCCGGCTTATACCACTTTCTTTTATGGGATAAGCGAATTTGAGGATTTTTGGGGATTTAAGGATTGGGGAAAAAGGGGGGATAATTGGGCCTCCGGTAACCTCACTCACACGACGAAACACAACGCAAGCGTTGCTTCACTATGGTTTTCTGCTCGTTGGTGGTATCACTCCGGTCGAGCCGGCCCAGCAGTGCCGAAGCATGGCTCTCCCACACTTTTGTTATATAGTTTTGTTGTTTGAATTGAGCTAGAACAATGTAACACTAAAATCCATGTGCATGCTTTATTAATTAAGCAAAACATGATGATCTATTGTAATTAAACTGTCAAACACCAAGCGGTCACCGGTGACCGCAACCTATTGTTCTATAATTGTGTCTACAAAACCGGTACTCGACGAGTTAAAACACCTTTGTAGACCATGTTTTACGCAAATAAAAGTCTTTATCTTTTCTAGTCTTCAAAAAAATTGAATAGTATTTAATTCCATGCTCCAACTCAACAGACAGCTCTCCACATCGCAGCGGAGCGCGGCCACGTGGAGAATGTCAAGACCCTACTCTCATCAGGAGCCTGCCTCTCCACCCTGGACGCTCATGGAAACACGGCTCTCGCACTAGCTGAGAGAAACAGCTGGAGACATGCTGCTAATGTCCTCAGGGAGGCTAGAGGTAAGATAGATTTTTTTTATAGCCGGTAAACGAGCAGACACCTGATGGTAAGCAATCGGCGCCGCCCATGGACACTCGAAACACCAAGGCCTTACAACGTTAAGTAACAACAAGTGCGTTACCGGCCTTTTGGGAATTGGGAATTTGAGGATTGTGAAGGATTCGGGGATTCGGGAGACGGGGACTAGGGAGGGGGGTAATTGGGCCTCCGGTAAATTCCTTATTTACATCACACATTAACAGCCTTTAAATGCCCACTGCTGACCAAACCCTCTTATCACACGGAGAAGGTTTGAGCATTAATCACCACGCTTACTCAATGCGGGTTGGCGATTTCAAACTTATAATTAGAAATTATAAGTCCAGGTTTTCTCACCATGTTTTCCTTTACCCTTTGTCAGTGGTGTCTAAATAATCTTAGAAAGTATATATAACTCGGAAAAATCACATTGGTACTTGCAGTTGGTAGGTTTCGAACCCGCACCCTCATGCATTAGAAGTGCGCGTCTTAAACCTCCAGGCCACCAAGAATGCATGAAATAATATTAAAATAAAATTACATTATATTGGAACATCACGCCTTTTGTCCCCGAAGGAGTAGGCGGAGCGCGGAGGTGCACATTACCAATGCCACTGTACAACGTAACACCCACTTTTCACTATTTATGTTATGAGTCTCATGCAATAGTGAGCCTATGCGTAATCTTTACGTACATATTTTTCAAGCTAAGATCCTTCTTTACTTCTTCAGCCAACACTAGTAATATTATAATGATGAAACGAGTTAACTTATCGTAATATACTATTTCGAAACATTTTGATGATAAAGTAGCTAGGGCTTTATGCAACTCAGCATTTACTCAATTTACAATTGCATTGTATAATGACATTAGATAGACTGACTAATTAATATAATTAAATTTTAATTAATAAATGAATATTTTTTTAATCAAAATCCCGACCGCCAAACATAACTAACGATAGGACTTTTTGTTTGTATGTTTGTAAGTGATACAGGGTCGAAACCCACGCATATGAGAAGCGATGAGTCTACATTCGAAACGATAATCTATCAATGTTCAATTTTAAATATAAATAATAAAAAATATACGTGGGTGTAGAAGAGCCATGCTTCGGCACGAATGGGCCGGCTCGACCGGAGTGATACCACGGCCGAGCAGAAAACTGACGTGAAGCAACCACAGCGTTGTGTTAGCTGCATGGATGTACTTCAAATTTTGCATGAATATTACTAACAGGTCGGGTCATAATATAGACTACATATTAATACGCCTTCCTACGGGGGAAGAGCTATGAAGAACTATCCAGTCACTATTCCACGCAGACGCAGTCGTGGGCACAGTCGGTACATAGTAAACAATTAAACATAACATAACATCACGCCATTTATCCCCGAAGGGGTAGACAGAGGTGCACACAGAAGTAACACCCACTTAGGTATTTATGTTATGAGTCCCATATAATAGGGGGTGAGCCTATTGCCATATACCGGGCACATTTCCAAACTCCGTGCTACTACTGAGTTTTTTTAAAAACCCAGTAATACTTTGCCCGACCCGGGAATCGAACCCGAAACCCCTTGCCCGGTAGTCGCACTTGCGACCACTCGGCCAACGAGGCAGTCATAGTAAACGTAAATACATAATACAGATATAATCAATTTATGTTAGTATGTGATTATTTAGTAATGCCGCGAGCCTCGCGGTAACCGGTCGTGCGGATCGCGCGTAATAAAACAAAAAAATAAGCATTAAAAACTTCGCGAAATTGTGTTTTAAATATAGTGTATTTAATATGGTTGTGTAATAGTGGTCTGTTGATTGTGTGTTAGGAGTTTTGAAGTGTATTTTTAAATATGAACCTTGTGTGGATTATAACAAAATATGTTGTCTAAATTTGATGTGCAATCGTAGTTAAGTGATGCGTTTAAACGTACCTATCTTCATATTTTTGTTGATTTATTTTTTTATTTATCTACATATAAACTAGCTAGTTCGTTTCTTGCGTCTTTGCTTGGGTGACATTTAGTTTTTTATAGATTTTCTCGAGATACTAGTTAATAGGAAGACAGTTCAAATTGGTGTATGCATATTGAGTTTCTTGCTCGTTCTTCCACATTGGAATCTACACCTTGGAACGAACAAATAGAGCAACTAGAGGACTGATTGACAGACTGTCATTTTTAATACCTATTTCATTTTTTGTTTTGATGTTCAAAAGTCCCTTCCTGGTAGGGTTGCCACCCGTACTTCATAATAAAGTATTGTACGTTATATAAGGTAATTGTACTCTATAATTTATAAGAATAACAAGTAGCTTTTACCCGCGGCTTCGCTCGCGTTACAAAAACACGCGACATATACCAATACACACAGCGCCATCTATACCAATACCTTTGTTTTTCCTCGGGAATACAAATTTTTCCGGGATAAAAAGTACCCTATTATTTAATCCAGACTTCTAACTTTACGTCTGCAAAAATTGAAAGCAATCGGTTTAGTAGTTACGGCGTGAAAGTGGAACAAACAAACAAACAAACTCACTTTCTGATTTATAATATTAGTAAGGATAAAGTACACGAAAATACTTTATTTTTGCAAACTTCATTTCTATTAAAATCGTAAGTATTTTTCGGTAAACTTATCAATTCGATATCGATATTTATCGATTTCGCCACTCGCCAGCGCCACTTAGACAATGTCTAGTAAAGATGCAATTGTTTAGTAAAGATACTAATTTAATACAAACTGCAAAAATCAATAAAAATATATTTTTAAATATAATATAATACTAAATAAGAATAAATTGTACTTTATTTTGTACTATGTACTTTTTTTTCTTACCTATAATCGTTACGTATAATCGTCAATGTACTTTAACTCGTCGAGTACCGTCATTATAGACACAATTAAAGAACAATAGGTTGCGGTCACCGGTGTCCTCGCGGTGTTTGACAGGTGTTAAATACCAAAAAAAAGGTGGCAACCTTATTTCCTGAGTGCCAAGCACGAATAACTATCGCATTCGTAACGTAATAGTATCGAGCGCGTTCGGCGCTCTGATTGGCCGGCTCAAGTGAACCAACCAATCAGAACGCTTAACTCGCTCGATACTGTTACGATACGAATGCGATAGTTATTCGTGCTTGGCCCTCTGGTCTAATTGAAATATAATGACTTTGACTTTGACCTTTATATTCTACTCTTGGATCTTCGTTACCTACATGAGAGGGTTTGCCATGAGTGCCATGCCCTCTATACTTGGCCGGCGTGTTGAGGATCCTAGTTCATTAAGTTAAGGTTAATCAGAGTAAGGTGCTGCCCGGTCTCTGTCTAATATGTTCTCTTATCTATCTCTCCACCTCAATTTCATTTAGATTCGTTCAGTAATTTTGGCTTAATTGCGTAACCAACAAACATGCTTTTAAAAACTATCGCATTTGTGTATAACTAGCTTTTACCAGCGGCTTTGTTCGCGGTCCCGTAGGATATAAAGTAGTGCAGAGGCGTAACTGTACCGTTTGGGTTTCGTTTTATGTAACATTTCGTTTGGTGATTAAAAGATGTCGAATTATTTTTTGTTTCATCCTTACTAATATTATAAATGGGACAGTGAGTTTGTTTGTTTGTTTGTTCCGCTTTCACGCCGTAACTACTAAACCGATTGCTTTGAATTTTTGCAGACGTAAAGTCAGAAGTCTGGATTAAATAATAGGGTACTTTTTATCCCAGAAAAAATTGATATTCTCGAGGGAAAACGAAATTATTGGTATAGATGGCGCTGTGTGTATTGGTATATGTCACATAGGCTACTTTTTATCCTTTTGTGACGCGAGCGAAGCCGCGGGTAAAAGCTAGTACTTTATAAACCTCACGGAGCCCGAGACCTTTCCAACGAATGCAAAACCGCGGAAATCGGTTCGTGCGTTCTGTAGTTATAGCGTCAGGAAGGAAAACCCGAAAGACTTATTTTTATATAGTAGATATTATTTTCGACCGTTATTTATTTATTTATTTAATATGCTTCATGCACAAAATGTACAAAAAGGTGGACTTAATGCCGCAGGCATTTTCTACCAGTCTGACCTTTGGGTGATGCAGAGAAGAGTAAATGGTAGGTGCAAGAGGCAAGCAGTGATAAATGATACAAAGTTCACTAAACCGACATAGTTATACAAAAACTTGTTGATTTCACAATATTATAAGCCCGCTAAGCCGGTTTTCTTTACCGTAGGTTTATGACGTAGGTCAATCAGTTATATTTTATGTATTACTTACCAGCGACCCGCCCCGGCTTCGCACGGGTGCAATATGCATCTATTATACATATAAAACTCCCTTAAGAATCACTCTACCTATCTATTAAAAAACATAACACATAAACATAACATAACATCACGCCTTTTATCCCCGAAGGGGTAGGCAGAGATGCACATAACACCCACTTTTCACTATTTATGTTAAGAGTCCCATGTAATAGGGGGTGAGCCTTTTGCCATATACCGGCCACATTTCCAGACTCCGTGCTACTACTGAGATTTTTAAAAACCCAGTAATACTTTGCCCGACCCGGGAATCGAACCCGAGACCCCTTGCCCGGCAGTCACACAATCAGAGGCAGTCTATTAAAAAAAACCGCATCAAAATCAGTTGCGTAGTTTTAAAGATCTAAGCATACATAGTTACAGACAGACGGCGGATAGCGACTTTGTTTTATACTATGTAGTGATATTTTATGTCAAATTAACTTCTAAAGTCTGATTTTTAATTCGAGTCAGTAAAATGACAGGGGCAACTGTCACTTTCACAAAAAAGGGTGACCCACTACAATAGTGATGTTCCACAATCGACCGACTTAGAAGTTTAGTCATGATTTATTTTATTAGGTATCAGAGCGTTGTTTTTATTGTAAATATTTGAAGCATAACGTATTAAATAATACAATTTTAGAAATATGAACCTTCCCAGCATATTAAAACT